TACAGTGACCTGTATCCTGTTTGTATCATATTGTATGCAATATTTAATATATTAAAGATAAAGATTTTTAATTATATTATATAATACACGATAATTATAATGAACAAATGATAAAAATTTGTGAGAGTTTATATACAACGTGTTCCATTTAAATCGATCAATTTCAATATTACCATTGTTTTCGATGATAAAGAAATTCTTTCCTTCGAAAAGGAGAAATAAAATGACATGGAAATTTTTCTTTTTCAAAATCATCGGTGCTATATATTCTTTTTTTCTTTTTTTGTTTTTTTTTTTTTTATTCTTTTTTTTTGTTCTTTTGAAATGGAATGGTATTATTTGTATTATCGCGGTAGAATAGCTCAATAAAAGGAATACGTACAAAACAGATAATATCTTTTTGACGTTTTTATATTAACTTGCGATAGAAGAAAAAAAAAAAGTATCACATTGGAACGAAATAATAATATTAAGTATAAGCGTTTAAACATTTCAATCCAATTGACACATATTTTTCATTTTACGATTATAACGAAATATTTAAGTTAATTTATACTATATTATAAACTGTAGCAAGAAATGCGTTTAAACGCATGAGCGTAACTCTGTTACTAAATGCGAAATGAATGCACAGCTGGTGCATAAATCATGGATAGTAACATGTGTCGAGCTAAAGGCATCATTAATGTGTTAAAGAGAGAGTGAGAGAGAGAGAGAGAGTGAGAGAGAGAGACAGAGAGAGACTATGAAGGGGAGGGGAAATATGAAACGGATAGTTAACGTATCAGACTGCGAATACGTGTATAGTAGCTAGTTTAGAACGTACGTTTAACGCTTTGCTCTAAGGGATAGTAAGTGAGTAAAACAGAAACGCTTAACGCTTACAAGCTCGAAATACCTGTAAAGGTAGATAGTCGTCTAATTGAACGAAACTCGGAATGTAGCCGCATGACCTATAATTTAAATATCAATGAAATCGAACTATTAATTGAAAGTCACTATCGAATATTTTTTATTAAACGAGAACAAATTAGTATAATTAGATCGTTTCGATTATTTTCAATTCTTTTTTTTTTCTCCGCTTATCTATTATATCTCGATTCTCTCAAGGAATAGAATTATTAATATTTAATTAAATTTAATTTAATTTAAATTATTAATATTTAAAGAAAAATTAATATATATATATATATATATACAATATGTATAATATTTTATAAATTATTACTATTACGCATAAAACTTAGCGAAAAAGAAAGATAAAGAGGAATAACATATGTTATGACATATGATATAATGATATGCTAAATAAAATGTTGGACATCTTGTGTAATGGAACGTTTAATAGTTACAAAAGACAATAGTTACTCGAATGTTTTTCTTTTCATTTTCTCTCTCTCTCTCTCTCTCTCTCTCTCTCTCTCTCTCCCTCATTACAGAATTCGTAAAACGCTTAGCCTGGAGCCAGTGGTGTCAGAATAAACAAATCGTATTTCGATGCATCTACTCTCTTCATTGTCCCTATAGTACAGTTAATGCGTACTGACCTGAAAATCCCTTTCAACTATGACTTTCAGGTTTCTATTCCTGGCGCAATCCAGATAACGGTTCCTGGTTCATACAAGCCATTTGCGAGGAATTCAATATCCATGGTCGAACTCTTGATCTACTCACTCTGATGACTTTCGTCAATCGTCGAGTTGCCATTAACTACCAATCCTTCCTACCTGAACGAAAGAGTTTCCACAAGAAGAAGCAAATACCGACTATAGTCAGTATGTTGACTCGAATAGTGCGCTTTCCTAAAAAGAGTATTTTACGTTCGAAACCGATGATAGACTCAGCTACCGAAGAAAACAAAACATCCAATATCGAGAAGAAAACTTATGGGACTAAGCCATGCTGACATCATCGAGATTACAATCTTTGAAGTTGCATAAATGACATCGTCTTTTATTTTCTTTCCTTCCTTTTTTTTACAATTTCTATACGCACGATTTATCTATCCATGTATGTAGCTTTCTTTTTTTATATATACATACATATACATGTGTATCGTGCTGGAATCTTAGCTTTTATAAAAGAAAAGAAAAAAAAATAGAAAACAAAAATCAAATTATATATATATATATATACATATATTTATTATGTTATATTTTTAAGATAGGAAAAATAAAAAATAATAATAAATATAATAATAAAATAATAATAAGTATAGAAAAATAATATAAATAAAATTGTGCATATTTTACTCTCATCTTCTTTAGTTTGTAAAATTATAAAAGAAAAGGAAAAAAAAAATCAGAAATAAAATTATTTATGTATATCTTTAAAATTATAATTATAATTAAAATTATAATTACTTTTAAGTTTAATTAAAATTATATATATATATATATATATATATATATATATATATAATTTTTACTTTATAAGAATAAAAAAAGAACAAAAATAAAAAATTAAATCATCAAAATTCTTACATCGTGTCATTCAATTA